ATCAGTATTGTAGCCTGGAAGCTCAGAAAGGTCAACAGTTTGTGATACAATCAGTACTGTAACCTGGAAGCTCAGAAAGGTCAACAGTTTGTGATACAATCAGTACTGTAACCTGGAAGCTCAGAAAGGTCAACAGTTTGTGACATAATCAGTATTGTAGCCTGGAAGCTCAGAAAGGTCAACAGTTTATGATACAATCAGTACTGTAACCTGGAAACCCATTACATGTAACAACAGTTTACGGCCGCACGTGGTAAAAATAAGATTAAATAATTAAATTAGTTTGACAGAACATGTAATAAATATAAGTGGGGCATTATTTATACATCAATAAAATATGCTTGCTGGCGCTCGATTCATATAAAAAAGGTTTGTAATATGTAAACAACATGTTAACAATAGTTGCACCACATTTTTTTTGTCATTTTGAGCAACTGAATAGATTCTCTAATACGAGACCGCCCTCTATAGTGGAGTGTACTATCTGAATCGTCTGGATAGTTCGAATTTATATTAAGTTCATTATTGTTTTATAGTGCTCATCTTGATCGCCTATTGACAATTAATGTAACTGATAAAACAGTTTTGAAGCTATATATATATACATATAGAGAGAGAAAGTGTGTGAATAAGAGAAGAGGGGGAACTTAATTTGCGGATACTTTTAATATAGCTTGTAACGCGAAACTTCACAGTTGTCTGGATAGTTCAGTACACTCCATATAGAGGGCGGTCTCGTATTAGAGAATCTATTCAGTTGCTCAAATGACAAAAAAAATGTGGTGCAACTATTGTTAACATGTTGTTTACATATTACAAACCTTTTTTTCGAAGAACAGTAAGAGTTGAGACGTTGTGGGTGTAAGCACTCAACTCTGTATTCGTAATGAACTTTCCACAACTGCTGACTGGTTTCTCATCTGCTTTTTGGATTTTGTTTGATAGATGGGATATCCCCAACGCTTCTGGGTGCTATTACCACAGGCAATCTCAGTTATGACTTTTGGATAACAACCGGAAAGTGCAGAGGTTTTTTTCTGTCTGCAGCCAGTTGTGGGAAGGCAGTTACCCTTAAAAAGATGTAATAAAGTTAAAAGTAGAAATAAGATAAAATTAAGCCATCCAAAAATATATATATTTCTACTAAACAATGCCTAGTATCCTCCACCCTTAAAAGTTCTAAAAAATCTTTAAAGTATAATAAATACCACCCTTTTCTGAGAATGATTTATTTAAAAAAAGATCTTAAAAGAATTACAAGACCACCTTAAGTAGTTTATATTGTCACATTATTCAAGTACAACCCAGCTACTTGAAGTTAGTCTTTCCAGTCCCGACTGTACTGAATAAATTTGAAGGTAGCTAACTACCTCTAGTGACAAAAAAAAGTATTTTCCTCATTGAATATTTATCTAGTAAAATATTTTGAAATGTATTATCAAAACTTGCGAAAAACTTTTTTATTTGCCAGTATTTATGTCCATTATTTTCTAATTTCGTTATGAATAATATAACATTATCCATAAAAACGTGCTGTTGTTACAAGCAGTTAAAAATATTTTTAATTGAGACGTAATAACGTCAAATACAGTAAAAACAATGTTTCGTTTCATGCTATCCAACCACCCTACAATCCAATTAACTAGTCTTTTCCCAACCCCTACCGGTGTGATTTTCTTAGCTTGTCTTTTGTGTGTTACCTTATCAAGAGCGTTTCAAAACTCTTAAGTACACAAAGTCCACGCAATTTCTTTAGCCAAGGTAACAAAAACATTATTAAAGCACGAGTTAACTTTACTGGGTACACATTGGCTTTCATATATGATATGTTTCACTAAATGTTTTTCTAAGCTTGTATGAGACTCCATTGCAGTAGTTATCCTAACCGGCCTACACTTTCCAAGCCTATATTTGTGTGTGTGTGTGTACGTATGTATTAATTTTTTTGTTTTATGTTTACTGGTATTAATTACAACTACTTCATACATGGCATGTTAATTTACATTAAGATACTTCAATATGTAACATAACGTACAGGTGGTTAGGGCTCTAGACTCGCAAGCTGCGGATCGCGGGTTCGAATCCCCTTCCCACCAAACATGCTCGCCCTTTCAGCCGCGGGGGCATATAATGTGACGGTCAATCCCACTATTCGTTGGTAAAAGAGTAGCCCAAGAGTTGGCGGTGGATGGTGATGACTAGCTGCCTTCCCTCTAGTCTTTTACTACTAAATTAGGGACGGCTAGCTCAGCTAGCCCTCGTGTAGCTTTGCGCGAAATTCAAAACAAACATATACATAACGTACTGTAGGTTGAAAGTTCTATGTAGATGAGCACACACCAGGACAGATGACTGTCTTGTAGTATCTTATCAAACAGTCCCATATTCTTGAACAAACACCAGGACAGATAACTGTCTTGTGGTATCTTATCAAACAGTCCCATATTCTTGAACAAACACCAGGATAGATAACTGTCTTGTAGTATCTTACCAAACAGTCCCATATAGCTGAACAAACACCAGGACAGATGACTGTTCAACAATATGGGACTGTTTGGTAAGATACTACAAGACATACTACAAGACAGTCATCTGTCCTGGTGTTTAGACTGTTTGGTAAGATACTACAAGACAGTCGATTGTCCTGGTGTTTGTTCAACAATATGGAACTGATTGGTAAGATACTACAAGACAGTAATCTGTCCTGGTGTTTGTTCAACAATGTGGGACTGTTTGGTAAGATACCACAAGACAGTCAATTCTCCTGGTGTTTGTTCAACAATATGGAACTGATTGGTAAGATACTACAAGACAGTAATCTGTCCTGGTGTTTGTTCAACAATATGGGACTGTTTGGTAAGATACTACAAGACAGTAATCTGTCCTGGTGTTTGTTCAACAATATGGGACTGTTTGGTAAGATACTACAAGACAGTTATCTGTCCTGGTGTTTGTTCAACTATATGGGACTGTTTGGTAAGATACTACAAGACAGTCATCTGTCCTGGTGTTTGTTCAACAATATGGGACTGTTTGGTAAAATACTACAAGACAGTCATCTGTCCTGGTGTTTGTTCAACAATATGGGACTGTTTGGTAAGCCACAAGACAGTCATCTGTCCTGGTGTTTGTTCAACAATATGGGACTGTTTGGTAAGATACCACAAGACAGTCGATTGTCCTGGTGTTTGTTCAACTATATGGGACTGTTTGGTAAGATACCACAAGACAGTCAATTGTCCTGGTGTTTGTTCAACAATATGTATCTTACCAAACAGTCCCATATTGTTGAACAAACACCAGGACAGATGACTGTCTTGTAGTATCTTACCAAACAGTCCCATATTTGAACAAACACCAGGACAGATGACTGTCTTGTGTATCTTACCAAACAGTCCCATATAGCTGAACAAACACCAGGACAGATGACTGTCTTGTAGTATCTTACATTTATAGTAGTGTATGTGATTGGTGAAAGTATCCCTGTAGTATTGTAGACCAGTTATATGCCTCCTAATGTTGTTGTTTTTTCGGCAGTGACCAGGTTATTTCTTAGCTTGCACATTTCTTTTATAGCAGAGCCACCATCGCTTCATCCTTTCGATTTTCCCAAAGACGCGGACCTAGGAGTGAGCATACAGGTCTTGTGCAACCTGAACAAAGGAAAGTCTCCTGTAAAGTTCACCTGGAAGAAAGATGGCCGACCAATCAATGCAGGAACGGGAATGAGGACAGGACTCTTGAATGAACGCTCTAGTTACCTTGTAGTTGATGACATGTCTGCGGAAAAAATGGGAAACTACACGTGCGTAGTGACAAACAGCGAAGGATCGGACAGTCACACTGCTCGGTTAGTTATTCCAGGTCAGTGGTTTGGAATCTCGTTTTTAATTAAAATTTTTGTAACGTATTATTTAGAAGTTAATTTCTTTTATTGCTTTTTACAGTGTGGCATTTGTTGACAATAAGTCACTGCTTAAACAAAATGCTAATAGTGAAACATTTTTCACACAAATATAGCTCTTAAAATCAACATACTATAGAATGAAACTTTAAAATAATTCAAATTCAAAGCACGAATCACATCGTCAAGTAAATCGTTCCACAAGTTTATAACTCTAATTAAATGAGAGAGAATATCCTAAGAACAAGTCTACATCTAGGCTTCCTAAGCCTAAAACTTGATAAGTGATGTTTAAGTTAGCACATTCAAGTTTTTCGTTCTACCACTTCAACAGACAAACCTAAGGAAGACTATAAAAATATTTAAATCCAACAAACATCAATTCTTCTGTGTTCCAGAGAAAAATCTAGAACTTTCTTCATGGCTTAAACTTTAACAAGATAGGCGTATGATGCTTTATATTTTCAACGTAGTTTAGTATTTTTTCCTAAAGAGGGCTCTATCTTGGGATACAAATATCTAATGACTGTAAAGAAACATCTTGTACAAACCTTGCCCCAATGGTAAGGAATACGTCAATTTCAGCCCAAATAATCACTTGTGAAGTATTTCATTGTTTTAACCAGTATGATATCTTATTTTTTGAATTTGATTTCACAGTTATTGGAATTACACTAGTCGCCTGTAATCGCAACATTTAAGACTTTAAAATAGTTCATGTAATCAAGATAAACATTCAGTTGCTTTGAATTTCAGATGTTCTCGTTTTCTATTGTGAGAATTTTCACAAAATTGGAGTTCATGCTAAGCCTAATTCAAATCTTTTATAGATAATGGTTTTATGCTAAGCCTATTTGAAATTGTTAGACATTAGTGGATTTTTGAAGCCTGTATGTAACTAAAAGCAGTGGAAATACAAAACATAAATTATATTCGTTGTAGATATGTTAGAAATTAGGGTTTAAAATATTGTATTTCTTCTTTTTGGCGAATACAATATATTAGAAACACTTGATAAATATTCTTGTTTCTTAATATAGCTACTAGAAATGTGTGTTCGAAAGGTGGCGCTGTCATAAGGCTTGGCATCGTTTCTTTTGTCGTTTGGACATAATTGCACAAAGAAGTACTTCGAGATTATAAGGATGTGTGCATAAATTGTTATATAATTACCCATTAAGTGTGCCATCTGACCTCCAAGGACGAGTATGTAATAATTTTAGGCTTCCAATAATTATACGGTCGTGTTTGATACACTTAATTTTGGTTTAGGGTAACAATTCCTTCTGTGTGTTGACGCCATTTTTCGTAAACTCGTTTTTCCGTCGTCAGAACAGATAAACGTCACCAAATGGCGCGCCAACTTCGAATCTTTGTGACTATTATGGTTCTTGTTGGTGAAGTATCTGCGGTTTCCTTAGGTAAGCTGCTTTCAGTTTTATGACATATTCACTCTGTTTAATGCTCTCCAATACCTATGATATTTTTAAATCCTAAACAAGCGCTTATTGGTGGAAAGCCAACCACTTACATGGTTTGTTTTCATCATAAGTTGTTTAATAGGTTAAAATAAGGTTTTATGTAAGTACCAAATTCAAAATAATAATTAAGATATTATATTTTTTAGCAACCTTTTTGGTATGATTCTTTGTTTTTCGCCAGCTCCCCCTACAATCCAACCTTTTCAGTTTCCGAAAGACGTATCTCTTGGCAGCCCTATTCGAATAACGTGTGGATTACTTAAGAGAGCGCCATCTGTCAACTTTGTCTGGAAGAAAAATGGCCAAATCTTAACGCCATCAAAAGACAAACATTATATTGGGTCACATGATGGTTTTGTCGTGATGGAGATTAAAAATGTGGCTGCTTCGGATATCGGGAATTATACGTGTGTTGCTGAGAATGAAGGCGGGAAAGACGAGTACACGGCGCAACTGGTCATAGAAGGTAAGATATACAACACGAGAGAACGTGCATTTAGCACCGCAGTGTTACCGGGAGTTTTGAATTTTATTTTGTTAATATAATTGTAAGGTTCAATCAAAAAAAAAAAAACATGATTAATATTTTAAACTGTAGTCGTGAATCTGTTTAAAATATGTTTCTCTGTCTTTTTAAACTGTTTACAAGTTATTAGCTGATGTTTATTGGCCAAAGTAACTATGTTTCTCTCTTTTTTTAAACTGTTTACAAGTTATTAGCTGATGTTTATTGGCCAAAGTAACTATGTTTCTGTGTCTTTTTA